TTTGGAGGTGCCCAGATGAGGCCCAGCTGTGAAGCAATGCAAGCTGCTGTGGGGCCTTGGGCCTTCTTTTGGATGTTCTGGGTCTCTCTGACCCAGCTGCAGTTTGTTAGGTAATTTTAGATTGCAAAGGGCCAGGTCATTCATATGCAAAAGCCTCTGTGCACAGCTTGGGTGGGGCGGGTGTCAGGGAATCAACAGGGTAGAGCAAACAGCTATGGCTGATCCTCAGTCCTACCCTAAGAGGCCCCTCGTCTCAGTGTTCTGCAGTAATTGCTGCAAGCACCTCTGAGAGAAAGCCGCCCTCGAGTTCTGCCCGATGCCAGACAGTCTAGCCTCTCCCTGTATGAGTCTGGGTCCCCAGAGACTAGCCCGGAACTGGAGTCAGGGCTGTCGGGAGCTTGTGTCTCCCTCCCGATTGAAAAAGACAACCGTGTCCTCAGTTGCCAGCCCTTTCCACGTGCGCCTCCGTACCTCTGCACTTTACTTCCACAGCTCCTCTGAGTCTCAGTGTACTGTTCTCTTTCCTTCTAGTTGTAGAGTTTCCACTCAGCCAGCCTTCCTGTGGCTCTGGATGATGTTCGTTTTGTCTTTTAGTTGTATTTTTGAAGTGGTTGTGCGAGGCAGCAATTTCAGGTGTTTACCTATGCCGCCATCTTGGTTTCTCTCTGCTTAACCATTTTTAAGTGTACAATTCAATAGTGTTAAGTGTATTCACATTACTGTACAATCAACCTCCAGAATATATGTGCATTTTATAAAGAAATGAATGAATCCTTTAGATATGGTCTATTAATAAGAAACTTTATTTTACACACAGAAACATGAACATGTATCTCACTAATAAGGATTCTACTTGTTCATTTTTTTTAAACAATCTCTCACTCTCTCTTCCTCCCTCCCTCCCTCCTTCCTCCTTCCTCCTCCCTCCCTCCCTTCCTCCTCTCTCCTTCCCTTCCTCCCTCTTTCCCTTCATTAATAGGAGTGAGCTGAGTCGGCAGAAACTTCATACCCAAGAGCTGCTTTCTCAGCTGGAAATGGCAAATGAAAAGGTAGCTGAGGTAAGATAATGACTCCCACGGGAGATCCTTGTGCTGCAGCCTGATATACATGTTAGAGAATTTTACTCGAGCCAAGTCCAAATTAATTCTCTACTTGGAAATGACTGTACAGATGTGTATATTTCCTGTAGAAATAATCCATAACCCGAAAAGTCCTCAGGTGGTACCGTGTGAATAAAAGCCTGAGAGTCAGGGATCCATCATGTGCACATGACAGAGGCGGGGCTGGTGCTGGTCTCAGAGACTCTGCTAGGAACCTCGGAGGTCTGTGCGTGTCTGAGATTATTTTTTAACCTGTTCCTTTTGTTTAGTTTTCATCCATCACAAGAGATGCGTAGAAAATACTTTGGCCTCCTGGAATATATTAAAATACTCCTGTAGATAACTGGAGAGCTAACTAGAGCAAGAGTTCAGGTTTTTTTCCTTGAAGTGTTAAAAAAGTAAGTAATTTCTAGATTATGATTAGGGCATTCTAGAACTCTAGTTCTCCTTTTGATGTTCCAACTTCGAATGTACTTGCTGGAATTTCTTCAACAGTCTGTCTGGCCCTCCGTCTCTTTGTGGCCTGCTATAGCTGCCAGAGAGAAATCATTACTCTTAAGTTTTGTAGCATTATAAATTGATATGAACCATTTAGAAAACAATTCCACCCTAGCCATTAAAGTACTCTTTGGTATAGCTCCCACTTCCAGGAATCTGGTCTAAGGGGGTCATTTAAAATGGGAAAAAATTAAAGGAAAATATTCAACACAGTAATGTTAATAATATCAGAAGATCAGAAGCAACCACAATGAACTGTTGAAAAAGAACAACTGTCTATATATTATGATTTATGTAATCTGGACTGTGCCTTAACTATTATTATGACAGATAGAAAAATGTACGTTATGTGCAATCTGATAGTGACTATGAAAATGATTATTATAGATGATGGCATTTTTTCCCCGAGTTCTCTCTAGTTTTAAAATGTGCCTCTTAAATTTAAGACTTCGTATTTAAACAATTTTGTAAATTGGAATAGCCAGTATAGTTCTCATCATAAAATTTAATTTTGCTTTGGGGCACACTGAGAAATATAATAAGCTCGTTTTAACAGGATACTGTTATTTCAATATTTTATGTTACTAGGCATGACAGTCCCTGTAATCACTTGTGTGTTAGGACATGGGAACTATATTGTTCTTCATAGAAAGTGTGTTTTTCTTTCTATTCCTGATTAGGCTGGTTACTCTCTCAATTCCCACAAGTGCCAGAAAAATTGAATAACAATACCAGTTGTACTAGTACAAAAACATTTTGTTCAGGCGAGTAAGTATGGAAGGACTGGTGCGTTTTTTAACTGACAGCTTCTTTGAGCCATGTGCGTGATGGCATGCAGTGTCAGATTTATGTTCGTGACGCTGCGAGTCTCCTGAGGCTGCTCTACCAGGTTACCACTGGTGATGTGCAGTCTCGGCTCTGGAGGGCAGAGGTCCTGGTCAGGAGGTCGGCAGGGTTGGTTCCTCTCGTGGGCTCAGAGGAGGGTAGGTCCATGCCTGTCTCCTAGCTTCTGGCAGCCTCGGGCGTTCCTCGGCTTGTAGATGGTGTTCGCCCTGAGTCTTCCTATGGTCTTCCCTTTGCACATGTCTGTCTTCCAAATTCCCCTTTTTATAAAGACACCAGTCGTATTTGATTAAGGCCAAGCCTAGTAATGTCATTCTAACATAATCATTAGCAAAAACCCTATTTCCAAATAAAGACATTTATAGGTACCAGGGGTTAGGACTTCAGTATATATTTAGGGGCATAATTTAACCCATAACAATGTCTTAATAACTCTATTGACCCTAATACCTTGTGGAGTATATAGCTGTTTGGGGAACATGTGGAAACAGACTTCTTAACCTTTTAAAGAAAACCTTTAGCATAGAAATCACTGAAGGCACATCTAACAGGATTTCCAGAATGAATATTTTCGTTTCTTGAACGTTTAATAATGACGATGTCCCAGTTTCCCTAGAACAGTGGTTCTCAACCTTCCTAATGCCGCAACCCTTTAATGCAGTTCCTCATGTTGTAGTGACCCCCAACCATAAAATTATTTTCGTTGCTACTTCATAACTGTAATGTTGCTACTGTTATGAATCGTAATGTAAATATCTGATATGCAGGATGTATTTAGGCGACCCCTGTGAAAGGGTCGTTCGACCCCCAAAGGGGTCACAACCCACAGGTTGAGAACCGCTGCCCTGGAAGTTGGTCCTAGCACAGTGGCTCTGAGGACACCAGCAGGCAGTGCCAGCGCCTGCTGGGAACATGGTAGACACAAGGATTCTCAGGTTGGGAGCAGGTCCAGGTGGGAGGCCCAGCAGTCTGTGTTTCCACACTCCCCACACTGGAAGCACTGAGCTAGCATCTCAAAGTTAACAGGTCAAAAATTGAAAATCCTGTTCTCAACTTCTGATTCTCTTTGCTTTGCACTTAATCCACTTTTTTGTTGACATGGAGGGGTAAAACGGTTTAGTGAGGATGTACAACCAGCTTTGAATTTCGTAACTTGAAAAATGTACATTTGGAGACACTATCTTTGCATTTTATAGTGGTCAGATGAGGTCCAGATTTCCCATTGATTATTCCACAAACGCCTCCATGTCACGTGTGGATCTCTAACCCGTTTGTTTTATGTTTCCTCTTCACAGAGTGAAAAGTTAATTCTTGAGCATCAAGAAAAAGCCAACAGACTCCAGAGGCGCCTCAGTCAGGCGGAGCAGAGAGCCGCGTCCGCTTCTCAGCAGGTAGGGAGCGCCTCGCCGCCCCTGACAGTAACTGTCCTGGTGGGTCATGCTAAGAAAGGCTCCTCAGAAGTCCCCAGAGAACTAGTAGGGTTATTTTTACCTGATTAAACTATTTGAAATTAGTCTCTATTATCTGGGGTTGAAAGTAAACTTTAAAGTCAGAAATAAACATCAGTCTCTGCAGTTGACTCCCACCTCTGGAACCACTCTGTCCCCTCACAGACACTAGCCACCAGCAGCTGCTCCAATTAATTAAAATGAAATAAACTAAAATAAATCTGCAGTTAGACTAGCAGATACCAGGTGCTCAATGACCATGCATCACATCAGACAGCATGAATGTGGAACTCTCTGTCCCAGGAAGTCCGAGGGACGCCCTGCCCCAGAGGCCGTGCGTGTGAACTGGGCAGGTGTTTTCTGACAGATTCAGAAGTAGGTAGCATTGCTCTGAACACACTATTTCAAATGCACTAACTTTGTTTTTATTGTAGTTTTTAAATGGAAAAAATTACTTTGTGTATAGGTTAACTCCATTTAATGCACATTTGTATATGACTATAAATCTAAAATATGATATAAAGTCCAGTGGGAAATAGAGTTTGAAAATGCATTCATGAAATATTGATATGGGGGTAATTATCCATAATGCACACACATCATTAGGAAATGAGCCATTTGTCTACAATAGGAGCAATAGTCCCTCCTATTGGGAACAAAATGATATCAGTTTAGTGAATATAAACATAGGCTGGAAACAGTTCAGATAGATAGTTAGATAGGTAGATAGATAGGCAGATAGATGGACAGGCAGATCAATAGATAGGTATGGATAGTCAGGCAGGCAGACAAAAAACAAGTTAATACATTATTAGTTATATTTGGCTATAAATGTACTATTTTAATTAAAATTAATATTATTCTTAGATATTACACCATTTTATACACAGTAAAGCAACTCTGAATACTGAATTCAGTTTATGTTTGTGATATTTACAGATTTTCTTTTTAAATCTACTTCTGGTATGACCATGAGGTGACACTTAAATGAAATCCAGCCATAATTTGCCCTTCTCCTTCTGTCCCCTCCCTCTTGAAAGTAATTATAGCTTTATTAAATATGTTTAATTTCTTATGGAATAATGAAGTAATGGACTACTTAATTACTCAAGAATTCCTCCATTCATGTGGATTATACGGTAGTAGGAGCGAGGGTGTGCTGGGCAGTGTCTGGAGCGTGTGTTTGGTGTCGACAAATAGCCTGCTGTCCCTCGGTAGCCATGTGACTTAGGGCCGCCTCCACCTCTCTACGCCTCGCGCTCTTCTTGCTCAGCATAGGATAATAATGCCTCCATTAGAGTTATTGAAAGATGAAGGGAATTCACACATACAAAGCACTTAGTCATTAAATGGTAAGTAGATAGATATATAAGAAATTAAATTTCTTACATCACAATCCTTATAGCTTCAAGGTTGCCTTTTTTAACGAATGTGATAAAGAAAATGCCTGCTTAAAATCACCTACCTTGAGTCCCGTAGTAAAAAGGGTGCAGTTACAGAACTTCGCTGTAGTGTCCCGGTGACATCTGGCTGCGTCTCCCTCCGGACAGTTGAACCTGAGCAGCCTCCTGTTAAACTCAGATGGCAAAGTTGCCCCGAGTTTAGCTCTTTGTGAGCTTTTTTTTTTTTTTTAATGTTTTTCAGTAAACACTTCACAAATTTTTCCTTAAGCTTTTCTTCTCCTATTTTGTTCTCCTTTAAAGATGGAAAGTAACCATACAGCTTTATGCCCATACACAAAAAGGAATTTACCCCCTGGAGTTAATATTTTTTCCACCTTAAGTGAGTCCAAGTTATAAACTTTCTTTATGAGACATATATTCAGGTTTTTTTTTAAACCTTTATCTTTGCCTTCTCTGAATTCTTTCTAATTAATTTTTTCATTTTCCTCCAAAAATTGGAAAGTACTAATAGAAATGATATCCTGCTAAGGGCCTGATATTTAACACAGTGATGGAGGTGAGAGATCCTCATTGTCTGTACTCACCAGTGCAGCCCAGCACCCTGCTGGGTCCAGGGAGAGCCCCTAAGTCCTGACTCAGCCGGTCCTGACCCTGCTCCTCCCGTTTCCTGCCTCCACCGCCTCCCCGGCCAGTACTGTGGCCACGTGTTCTAAGTCACCATGCACCATGACTGCCGTGTCTTAGAAATCAGGGCGGTGCAGCCTTTCTCTGCAAGAACACAAAACCTAGAAACTAGGAAAGAAATCGGTAAATGTGACGATGTAAAATTTCAAATTTCTACATGAAGTCAATGACAGACTGAGGAAAGTATGTGCAACAAGTATATGACCAAGAGGCTAATGTCGTGGATGCATATAAGGAGTGGCTGCGTTAGCAAAGAAGTGCTGCAGCTCCCACATCATTGGTGTGATGGCTGTTGGTGCGGTAGCCGGTTAGGCAGGATCTCTCAGGCTGTGAGTGTACATAACCTGGGACCAGCATTCCTAAGAATATATCCTGCAGGTGGTCCCTTGCCCCTGGGCACAGCTGTACATGGAAGCACGAAGAAGCCCAATTGCAGCATTGCTTATCCTTTTAAAATATTAAAAATATCTAAATGCCCATCAACAGAAAACCAGCTAAATTAAAGAATATCCATGCAGGGGAAAGTTAGCAGCTGTTAGGAATAAAATAGATCTAATGTGAAACCATTTTGCCCCAGCTAGTTTGACTCAGTGGATAGAGCATTGTCCTGCCGACTGAAGGGTTCCAGGTTCAATATCAGTCAAGGGCTCGGTTGCAGGCTCAATCCCCAGTCCTGGTTGGGGCGTATGTGGAACCAATCACTTTGTCTCTCTCACATCATCGTCGTTTCTCTCTCTCTCTGCCTCTCCCCTTCCCTTCTGCTCTCTCTGAAAATCAATGGAAAAATATCCTTAGGTGAGGATTAACAAAAAATAAGAAAATAATATGGAAGCATTTCTAAGGTAGATCTTGTAACAGGAAAAAAAAAAAACCAAGATGAAAAGTCTGCATCATCCTTTATCATTTTCTAAATAAAAAGGGGTGAGGAAATATTGCATATACCCTCATTTAGAATATTTCAGGAAAGATGCTTAGGAATTGGAAACAGTGGTTGAGTCTGGAAGGAGGACTATGGAAATAGCACAGTAGTGGGAAGACTTCCTTTATGCTATGTCGTACCATTCGTTTTATTTTTTGCACTGTTAGGTTTTTTTACTATGTGTATATTCCATATTTTAATCAATTCCAATTAATATTTAAAGATTATTTTCCTGTTGGACTTTTCTTACTATGACCTATCATCTCTTTATTACCAGCCCTGCAGTGTGCTGGCTTACACTTAGTTTCTGTTTTAGCCACTTTTCCGATTACCTTTCCTCTGGCTGTTCTTCCTCCCTCTGTGGAATATGTCTTGGAATTCCCGGGATGTCACTGAGCTGTGGGATGTCGTATTTGGCTTGTGTGTCTAGTGTGATGCAGGCACTTTAAGTGTCTCAGGAGTAAAATAGAAGTGAGCACAGAGAGCGACCTCTTCCAAGGCCCTTTCCACTAAGATTATGTTCAATGACTGTCAGCTGTGGCGGGTTACACTGTGTGGAAAATTCACCTAAGACTTCCCCTAGGAAAGTGACTGCTTACTGATTGTTCATTTCAATTGCAGCTCAGTGTGGTTACAGTGCAGAGAAGAAAAGCAGCCTCCATGATGAACCTGGAAAATATCTAAAAAGGCCCGTAGTTCACCCCAGCCTTAGAGGGGAAGCTGCTGCACTAGGAGGTTGAATGGGAAAGCCTGTCGAGAAGGGCAAAGGCCCTGCCCCTGGCACGCGCATTTGCCATTGTTTTGGGGGGTTATTGGGAAGCAGGACAGTGGCAGCTTCCTGGGAGTAAAGGAAACATAACCGGCACGGGCTTCAGTGGAGAATAAAGCAGCTGAGAAGACTCATTGCCTCCGCCAGTGTGTCTATTGTCTCCCCTCCACCCCCATCCTCTGGAAGAGCATAATAACTTCTAGGCCGGTGATGGCGAACCTATGACACGCGTGTCAGAGGTGACACACGAACTCATTTTTTTGGTTGATTTTTCTTTGTTAAATGGCATTTAAATATATAAAATAAATATCAAAAATATAAGTCTTTGTTTTACTATGGTTGCAAATATCAAAAAATTTCTATATGTGACACGGCACCAGAGTTAAGTTAGCGTTTTTCAAAATGCTGACATGCCGAGCTCAAAAGGTTCGCCATCACTGTTCTAGACTATGCTAATCATGAGAAAGAGATTTTAAGAAAATACTAAAATGTTAATATTTCTGTTTCCAAGATTTGAGAATTTTACATCAGATTGTTACTTCTAACTCATTTTTAAGGTTCCCAAGTATCCATTTTATTATGAACTCGTAAATGTAATAAATTATGTGTTCTAAAATGATGCTGTCGTGTATTTTAATATGTAACTAGTGATCCTGTTTCTCACAGACATGATTTCCAGGATTTATCAAATGCTGGCGATAAGGGTTTGGGAGGTGTGGGGGGTTTTGATCAGATGGACTTGGTTCTGAGGCCGTGCCGCGTGGGCTCTTGGGACTGCGGACTTTGCTGCTGTTCTCACTCCTGGTGGGAATGGGGCAGACAGGTGTGCTCTGGACAGCAAACTGGGAGAACTGCGTGGTTCAAATAAGAGATAGCGCCTTGAGTTTGAGGTGACACGGAAACGTTGGTGTGTCGATACTCAGCCAGCAGTGGGAAGTTTAGGACTGGTGCAGACGAGCCAGGATGTCGTGGGGTCTTTGGCTGGAGCTGAGAGTTGAGGCCGTGGCGCGGAGCTGGCCCTGGGCCTTGCGTGCTGGGCTGGCTCCCCCTCGCCCCTCCTCTCTTGCCCTCACCCTGACATTGCCTTTTCCTTCCATCACCACGTCCTCCTCCCCACACAGGGCTGTGTTCACACCTCGACGTGTGCACATTCTTCAGCTGCCACTCAGTCTAGGTGAGGGCTGCCGTGTTGCTCGCAGAGGGTGCTATAGGGTTTCTCCACGGCGCTTACCAAGATTTGTCACTAACTCTGAGTTTTTCCTTTAAGGTCCTCTCTACCCCAGCAGGCCGCAGGCTCTGCGAGAGGAGGACTTGCGTCTCTGTAACCTTAGCACTCAACAGAGTTCCTAGTATTTACTGCTTGTTCCTTTTTAAAGCCCTTTAATATGGCATCATGGACATTTTCATTCAATATTTTCACCCTTTTTTGAAAGAATAAAAAAGCCATTAGAGCATAATGTGATATATAAGGAAATCTGTTAGCACTTCCGTCTGTGAAGATTAAAAACAGGAGACTAGCATCTCCTTTCATCTAGATCAGTGGTTCTCAACCTTGGCTGCACATTAGAATCACCTGGGAATCTTTTTAAAATCCTGATTGCTGGGCCTCATCCTCCGGAAATTCTGTTTCTTTGTTACTGATGTTGTGGCCTCACCCTATAACAAAGAAACAGAATTTCCGGAGGATGAGGCCCAGCAATCAGGATTTTAAAAAGATTCCCAGGTGATTCTAATGTGCAGCCAAGGTTGAGAACCACTGATCTAGAAAGAGGAGAGAAGCTATAATCACGCTTCTATAAATAACTAAAAGAATCCATGGAGACTCCGTCCCTGGGTCTACAGTAAACATGCTGATCTGTATTAATGATGCTTGTTTATTGAGCACCTATCACACATACATAGGCATTGCGCTAACATTTTGCATTTGTTAGCTCATAGAATACAACACCCCAGCGAGGGGGATATTATTCCATTTCCTAAGATAGAAGGTATGACGGAAGTTAACCAACTTGCTCTGGGTCAAAAGCAGGAAAGTGGCTCTGAGGTTTCACACACGGCCTCTCCCACACCAGACGCCTTCTACTCGCCATGCGGCGTCTCCAGGGCCACAGAAGCCACACCTTTGACCTCTCTCCTATTTGCTGACAGGGACTGAGCAGTCATCTTTCTCATTCTCTGATGTCCTGGGATGGAGTTCACCTGGGCCACATCCTGGACTTGCTCATCCAGGACTTCACGTAACTTCTACCAGTACCCTCCACACTGGTATTACTCATTACCCATTAGGGTGTCCTTCTCGGTTCAAGGATCGTGTTCTTGATGGGAAATACAGGTGCAGAGAAGAAAAGCAGCCTAATCCTAATGCAAATTAGGATTTGAAAAATTCTACTTCCACTTTTTCATTCATCAACCCTATTATAACAAACCTGAACTGTGAGCCCTTTTTATCTCCTTTTTACCTTTTCTGATTAACCCAAAAAGCCCTTTTGGTCATCTAATTAATATGCATTACAGAGAAAACGTGGTATAAGAAAAGCAACTTCATATATAGTGGGATTTGGTAGTTTTTTTCTATAGGTGGTAAAAATTGCACCAAAAAACTATGAAGTGATGAACGATGGATGTGGACAACGGGGTGAGGGTGAGGGCAGGATTGGGAGGATGAGAGGACATTGGGGGGATAAGGACACATTTATAATATCTTAATAAAGGGGAAAAAAACTATGAAGCGTCTACCAGAAATCATAAATATGTTAAATCTTGTTTAGCAATTGTAAAGTGGTTGGTATAATATTGTATGATTTCCTGTGTCAAAATTTGGGACTTGGGACTAGTAGAGGCAAAGATATGATCACAAGCATCTGATATGAAAAAAAGTTCAGCAGTTCAAACAGTGAAGCTGGCACGGGGCCGAAAGGTGCAAGAAAAGGAGGAACTCGCCCTGAGGCTGCTGTGTGGGGAGGGAATGCCACACGGGTGGTAATCCTGGGGTTAGAGCAGCCGTGGGCAAACTACGGCCCGCGGGCCGGATCCGGCCCATTTGAAATGAATAAAACTAAAAAAAAAAAAAGACCGTACCCTTTTATGTAATGATGTTTACTTTGAATTTATATTAGTTCACACACACACTCCATCCATGCTTTTGTTCCAGCCCTCCGGTCCAGTTTAAGAACCCATTGTGGCCTTCGAGTCAAAAAGTTTGCCCACCCCTGGGTTAGAGCCTTCAGCCAGATGAGTGGGTAAAATAGCCATAATTAATCCATAGTTATAAATGTACTACTTAAAATCCAGCCAGATATAAGCCGAGTAGTAGTGAGACTATCAAGATACATTAGTGTTAATTAGGAATGACAGTACTTTTTTAAAAAATCTTTGCTATTTAATTTGATAAAAATTGTTTATCTTGGCTATTTAATTTGACAAATAAGTCATTGCTTGGCTTATTTGAAAAATTAACTGGATTTGTTATACCTTCTATTACAAAAATACTGATTTGAAGGTTTGACATAGCATCAATTTAAAGTTTTTAGACATTAGTACTAATTCTAGATTCATCATCAAGAAACTGTGTGACTCTAAGTAACTCTTTAACTTTCCAGGATGGTGTCGGGATATAGAGAATTGTTACTGAGTTTCTGATAGCCGTGCTCTTTTTTTTTGCTCATATATGCATATGTTCTATCTGAAAATGTGTATGTGTGCTCGCTACATAAATGTACATGACGCTACAGAAACTAATTCCATTCTCCCTAGTACAGCGGTTCTCAACCTGTGGGTCGAGACCCCTTTGGGGGTCGAACGACCCTTTCACAGGGGTCGCCTAAGACCATCGGAAAACACATATAATTACATATTGTTTTGTAATTAATCACTATGCTTTAATTATGTTCAAGTTGTAACAATGAAATTGGGGTCACCACAACATGAGGAACTGTATTAAAGGGTCGCTACATTAGGAAGGTTGAGAACCACTGCCCTAGAAGAAGGCAGCAACTGACCATAAGCTGACTATATTAGTCATTATCCATTAGGTTACGTTCAGTCATTCGGCCAGGACATTGGCGTAGGTTTTAGGCCATGATTAGCAGCTTTACTTTATAGAAATTCATTAACCTAAAGTTCCCATGTGTAATCCTCAGCACACTCAGGAACACCAGAGCTCCTTAGGGGAACTATTTTTATATTCTGTGAGGCAGCCGAGCTCGAGGGATTGACTGACTCCCAGCTCTACCACCTACTGACCTCGAGCAATTAACTTGACTTTTGTGCCTCAGTTTCCTCATCTGCAAATTAGATAACACTTACCTCACATGTGAGGCTTAAACACAGTCATTGTACATAAACTAGCCCAGTGCCTGCGAGGTGAAAGCCCTGGCATATCTGCAGGAGTCTGGAGGTTCTCCTGAAGGCGATGCGCAGAATGACAAACTCAGATTTTAATTGCACAAGCTGTCACTATGGAGATAGCGTTGGCAAAGCTGCAGCTAATTGAGGGGGAGGAGGGATTAATTTCAGCAAGACTTGAGTGAAGGAAACAAGAGGCAGCTGCAATAACCCAGGCAGGAACTGGTGCAGCTTGAGCTACGTGGCACGTGGTTCTGGGACTGAGAGAAGTGAAAAATGCTGAGGAGACACTAAGTGGGATCCACAAACCTACGACTCGGCCATGGGCGTGGAAGAAAGGACTCAGGCAGCACTCCCAGGCTCCAGGCTTGAGTTACCGTCTCTAAGGCAAGACATGAAAAGGATGAGTTCCGAAACCCCCAGCACCTGCCTACATCCCGAGGAAATGCACGGGCTCAGCCCAGGAGGAGCCGGAGTGCAGGTGTGGACTCAGCCGTGGAGAGAGCAGCTGAAGCCAGGGAAGTAGATAAAAGATCTGTTCATGTCCCTTTTTCAATAACCAGACAGTCCAAGCTCTCCTCCTCTCCCCAGACCAGGCCACATCACCAACGCTTGGAAGCTAATCGCCAAGTTTGCTGCAGATGGCGACTTTCAAAGGTAGAAACCGTTCTCTGAGTGATCTGGGTGAACACAGGAGCACGGGTCCCTGGTGCCGCATTCCCCATCACGTGCAGAACTGCCACGGCTAAGCCCTGCCTGTGGCTCCTGGGACTTAACTTCCCTGGGGAACTATTGTGGTTAGCTAACGTGAAGACCTTGTAGGAAGAATCCCAGTTCTTTCTCTCTGGGGAGAGCAAGCAACATGGAAGTAAACAGTCACTAAGGAGGAACCAGGAGAAATTAACTTTTAGCCAAATGTATGAACAATTCATGTTAAAAACACACACACACACACACACACTGGCCAAATTATTACAAAAATTATACATGAGGGCAATAGCGCTACCCTGGTGTGGCTCCTGTGCACCCCAATCTAGGTGAGGATGCATGACCCATGTCAGCTTGGCTGTCCCCAACACAAAAAACTGCACGTCATGGATGTGAATTTCTGCGTGTGGTGACTCAATGCTGCTTCAGGCAGGGAGAGCACCAAGCTAGACATTAGAAATGGGGCCAAGCCCTGACTGGTTTGGCTCAGTGGATAGAGCGTCGACCTGCGGACTGAAGGGTCCCAGGATTGATTCCGGTCAAGGGCATGTACCTTGGTTGTGGGCACATCCCCAGTGGGGAGTGTGCAGGAGGCAGCTGATCGATGTTTCTCTCTCATCAATGCTTCTAACTCTCTATCCCTCTCCCTTCCTCTCTGTAAAAAGTCAATAATATATATATTGATTATA